GAATCCTTATGCCAAATGCCTGCATAATTTGTAGTCTCTGAAACTCCTAAGGAATTTGATTTTGCAGCATATTTTATTAGGTTCTTGAAAATAAAGCAAGACTTCAAAAAAACAGGTTTTAAAAAATGAACAGTTTTTTCATTTGCTATGAAGTATTAAATGTTTTACCTTATCTTAAATATTATTTCGCACGTATTTTTGTGTGCAGTTAAATTTCTCTTTTTAATTTTTTCCCTTCACTTTTCCAGCTTCCCTTAGTCTTATTATTATCAGATAATTTTCGAATTTGGATTTCTCTTTTATCTCCTTATTTTTGCTTTTTTGTTTGATTTTTTACTCACACCATGGCAAAGCCCAAATGTATGGAAAGATAGGGAAGCATTTTTTCTGTGCCGAACTCCTTGTCTCCTTTTTCTAGCTGCCAGTTATACACATCCAACTCCGAACATGCTTGCGTGAAAATATTTTCTTTATTGTAGGTACCGTTCAGTAGCTTTAATGAAAACATCTCGCGAATTAAATTTTTGTCATTTTTCTGGATACGAAGTGTAGGCAATCAAAATGAGGTTTTAAATAAATTTACTGCCACAGATTAAAATGTGAGATGCAGTATACTGCTGACATCTTAAAGTATCAAAGCAGTGTGAATTATTCAAGAAACTGCCGCAATTGTTTTGAAAATTTCTACGTTCAGATTCGAACTTGATGTTGGAGCAATTCTGGGATAGTCAACCGAAGGCAAAACGGCTTTGCAAATTTAACAAATTTTGCTTCTTTAGAGACATAGCGGCACGGAATTGCTTACTATCGGAGAAGTTACAAGTGAAAATCAGCGATTTTGGGATGTCTGATGAGCGACGATTTATTCACGACGAAAAACTTGAGAAAGTTAGAAATAGTTATATCTTTGTAACCCCTCCTCTTATCCATTAAGGAGTGTTTCGGAACTACTAGAGGAATAGTTTCATGTTGCCTGACCAGACTAATAACAGTGACATTAGAAAAGTAACTTTTGTTGGCTTCACCGCACACGAATCGTGCATAGTACGAGCACTATAGACTTGAATATCATGATGCTCAAGAATAGATTTTATTTATTTTTGTGCTTGCGAATTTGAGTTTGTTACTTCAGATGCGCGTCCTTACTGTTTACTTCAGTTCATGTCTTTGACCATAAGCACAGTTTTAGTATTAAAAAAGCCGTTGATTTTTTCTTTTTTTTTTTAAATTGACCACTATTTCTTGGCTTTATTACCCAAAAGACGTCAAAATTTTTGGCCTATCAGGCCTCACCAATTCAGTCCGCTTAAGTTCATCGAGTATTAAGTCATGTATAAGCTCAGTTAATTAAGCTGACATTAGATTGTAATGTTTGCAAACAGGACGGCGTCGGCTTTCGAGTTACTATCAGTGGCAGTCAAAATTTTTGAGCTTAAACGGCGTCACTAGAACATGGTGTTGTTATTAGTACAAAATAAAAGAGAATTCAATTATAAATACAGGTACCAATGAAATGGCTCGCTCCAGAAACAATGCAGCAACGAATTTTCTCGTCCAAGACCGATGTATGGTCCTATGGCGTCTTGGTATAAATTTGTTTTTAAATAATGCCATAAAAGTCCAAAATTGCATTA